TCCCAGAATCCCCCAGCCAGCCTGCTTTAAGAGGGGTGGGACTTCAACTCCCAGAATCCCCCAGCCAGCCTGCTTTAAGAGGGGTGGGACTTCAACTCCCAGAATCCCCCAGCCAGCCTGCTTCAAGAGGGGTGGGACTTCCACTCCCAGAATCCTTGGCAAAGGCCATGTTGGCTGAGGAATGTTGGGAGTTGAAGTCTTTAAATTGCTCAGATCCTGCTGTCAGCGTTGCAGGGAAAATCCATTCCTGTCAGTCACTCCAAGACGCAGGTCATCTCCAAATACTTTTCTTAGAAGAGCACCTGGCACATATTGTGTGGAATTCCAGAACTAAAAGCTTCTTCCGGCTTCCCCACAAAGTCCCAACCTGCAAAGCATCCCCTTCTTTTCCCTCGTCCCCACATCACACGAACCAATCCCCACGTAAGTCCTAATTCTTTCGGCGCCACACTCTGTAACCTTGACCTATCCAAAGAATTATATTTTGTCTGCTAAGAGCTACTCAAATCAACATTTCTCCCACTTTCTCCCACTGTCCATCGCTGACCCCTGCGCTCTAGATACAATCCTTTGGGAGGTTTTCGCGCCAGAAATTACACGGGGATCCGGTCGGTGCCCAACCGCTGCCTTCACTGGCGACCAGCATGCCTAGTGGTTGGGGATGAGGGGGACAGTCATACAGCCCGGAGCCTCCCAGGCCCTCCGTTCACCGCCCCCATCCAGGTGCACTTACTGCGGACTTCAAACTGGCTGTATTCTCGTGGTTTCAGGACGGGCTGCGAGAGGCAAAACCAGGGCAGCTGCTTACGGAGTTGGGGCACGAGGTAGTGGGTGACAAAACCAACCAGCCCCGCCAGGGCATAGAGCACATAGCCTAGGACAGACTGAGGGAGGCACAACAAGGAGAAATGCAAAGATTATAGGCAGTCCTCGACTTACGACCGTCCGTTTAGCGAATGTTTGAAGTTACGACAGACTCCCCCAAGGAACTTATGACCCGGGGTGTGTGTGTGTGTGTGTGTGTGTCACGTAACCACACCAGCCCTGCTGGAGCTGGGCTCACACACCTTCCACTACACACGGCCATCCATCCATCCAGTTAGTCCTTGACTTACGACAATCGAGCCCTTCTGTTCAGTGGGGCAGCTGTTAAGCAAGTGCTGTCCCCTTTTACGACTGTTTTTGGTCCACGGTGTAGTGAATCACTGAAGTGGTTTTAAGTTAGTAACATGGGATCTGGCTTCCCCGTTGTTCTGACCGAGGCTTCCTGAGACCGTAATTAAGCACACGCTTAGTCAAAACAACTCGTTTCAACGCTGGGAATTATGTTCACTCCCAACCCATAATGAGTCCCAAACAGTTCCTTGAGATAAGCACCCACCTTTCTCTCCTTGGAATTGCTGCCAACAACTAAAGTGCCAAATGAACGGTAAAAAACCAACTGAAGTACAAACTCCACACAGAGGCTGCCAGCAAACCACAACACCCATTGGCCATGCGTGTCAGGAGGTCCCAAAAGGGGATCGCACGAATAACAGAATTACCAGAGTGGGATGGGACCTTGGAGGTCTTCTAGTCTGACCCCGCCCCCCCTCCAGCAGGAAACCTTATACCAACCATTTCAGACAAACGGTTTTCCGATCTCTTCTTTAAAACCTCCAGTGTTGAAGAACCCACAATTTTGGCGGGCAACCGTTCACAAAATACAAGCCGGTTGCCTCTGAAGTTTGATCATGTGACCCTGGGGATGCCACAACGGTCGTAGGTGTGAAAAACAGCCGTAAGTCACCGTTTTCAGTGCCGGTGTAACTTTGCACGGTTACGACACGAACTGTAGTAAGTCGAGGATTACCTGTACAGCCAGTGTTCCCCTGCACCCACACACACACCAAGCCGCTACCCACTGCCCACCCCGCGACTCCCTTCCTTCCCCTACCCCTCTCCATGTTCTTGTCTTAGGTACCTCAAGAGCGATGAAGACGGTGCTGGCGCTGATGGCGAAGGTCAGCACAGCGATGATGAAGCACATGACGAAGTCGGAGTGAAGGATCTCGCGCTGCATTGGGCGGAAGGACAAAAGAGGTATTGAGCCAGGGTGGCGCCGTTGGTTAGAGTGCAGTACTGCAGGCTGTCAGGATTCCAGCAATCGCCCTAATGAAATCATGATTCTCGAGCCAAACTTCAAAAAACTTCAAAGGATTTATTAAGAGGCAACATACTGGCATTGCCCCGTACGAAGCCAACTCTGGCATACGTAATTCACAGTCACCCATGACCCTGTTTCCCCCTCTCCCCCCCGGGTGTCTCATAAACCAGATTCTCCAATTGAGCATGTTCACAGGCTGGGTGTCACCAATCACGTTCTTCAATTAAATATATTCATGGGCAAAAGCTCTGGTAGTTTAGCTACAATCTTTTAAAGAGAACAGTTGGAATGTACTTTCGCTTTCAAACTGCTGCACTGCTCTTCCAGATTTCCTTCCTTCCTTCTCCCCCGCGCCTTTTTTTTTTTGTCTTTTATGGCAAGTACTAAAACAGGCATAGGGATGTTTTATGAGTTGACACAGGCTACTTCTGCTGACTGCTGGCCTGCAATTTGATTCTCACTAGGCTCAAGGTTGACTCAGCCTTCCGTCCTTCCGAGGTGGGTAAAATGAGGACCCAGATGGTGGGTAAGAGGCTGACTCTGTAAACTGCTTAGAGAAGGCTGTAGGGCACTGCGAAGTAATATATAAGTCTAAGGGCTATTGCTATCTTTTCCTTCCTTCCTTCCTTCCTTCCTTCCTTCCTTCCTTCCTTCCTTCCTTCCTCCCTTCCTCCTTCCTTCCTTCCTTCCTCCTTCTTTCCTTCCTTCCTCCTCCCCCCCTCCCTTCCTTCTTTCCCTCCCTCCCTCCCTCCTTTCCTTCCTTCCTGATGCAGTGGTTAGAATGCAGTATTACAGGCTAACTCTGCCAATTGCCAGGAGTTCAATCCTAACCAGCTCAAGGTTGACTCAGCCTTCCATCCTTCCCAAGTGGGTAAAACAAGGAGCCAGATTGTTGGGGGAGTAAAAGGCTGACTCTGTAAACTGCTTAGAGAGGGCTGGAAAGGCACTGTGAAGCGGTATATAAGTCTAACTGCTATTGTCACGGTTGATTCACTACGCAGCGCTGCTCGCAACCAGACAACAGTAACAAGAGTGTGTCATCTGGATGCGTGAGACAGGCTCAAACCCCGAGGTCATCACTCGGGAACCTCAGAGGCAGACAGGCTGTTTCCAAAATACACCCAGTACAATTGATTGGTGGACATTGGACAGTGGGAGGTTCAGGGAAAAAGGAAAAGGTTTTCTTCTGCGCTGTTTGCGTGCCAAAACATCAGAGCTGGCTTTGCTCCTTCTGCGCCCATATGGCTTTTCAGTAAAGTTAACCTCTTGGTGAAAAAAAATGTCCCTGGAGGTTTTTTTTTTTTTTTGCTGTTTTAACACAGTGGGACGGATATGTTGAACAGCGCGAAAGGAGAAGCCAGAAGCTCTGGATTTGGCATGCACCTTCTCCACGGCTGGATCTCCTTGGACACCCCTTTTCATCATGGTTTAGTTTAGGAGTGTCCAATTCAAGGCCTGCAGGCCGGATCTGGCCCGCAGGACCACCCTGGAAACAGTGGACCGGCCCGCGGTGCCTCTGCCAGTGAAAACAGGCTCCCAATCTCCATTTTAGGCTGGGAAGGCCTCCTGCAACCCTCTGCCAGTGAAAACAGGCTCCCAATCTCCGTTTTAGGCTCGGAAGGCCTCCTGCAACCCTCTGCCAGTGAATACGGGGCTACGTTTTTGATGGCAGAGGGTTGCAGGAGGCCGTCCCAGCCTAAAACGGAGATCGGGAGTCCGTTTTCCCTAGCCGAGCGCTCGGGCCAAGACAGGCACCCTGACACGAGTGAGGTCAAGCTGGCCACGCCCTTAATGGCCACGCCCCAACCCTCCCCCCGCCAAGGTCAAACACAACCCTGAGGTGGCTCTCCATGAAATCGAGTTGGACCCTCCTTGTTTGGTTCCTTCTCCCCATTAACCGAAGGGGTGGCATAGGCCTTCCTCACCAGGGAGTTGCGCAGTTTCTCCGGGAGGGGATCCTTCACACCAACCGGGGGATTGTCCACGTTGCGGTTGTCAAACTCGGGGAAAAGCTTGGTGCGGATGAAAGACCTAACCGTCGTCGGGGAAGGAAAGAAAAAAAACGGTTGGTTGGATTCCAAAGCGGCATCCAAGCCAACAGGATCTCGTCTTCTCCCTAGCGAACCCCCCCCCCCCCCAAGGTTTGGGATGGGGGTGTGGGGGGGCTACAGACCAGAGGATGGTGGGGTCGCTGCTCTGACGGCTGAGATGGTAGGAGAGGGACACCAGGATGCCGCAAAAGACCGAAAAGAGGACGGGCACATGCTGGTCACCCCACGGAACCTGGAAAGCGGAAAGAGGACACAAAGGGAAGTCCAGCATGCAGGGGTTGGCAACGTACCGACGGCACAAAGCACAGGTTTGTTTACAAAGCACAGCCAGGTTGTTTGTCCAGGAGCAGCAACAACATATTTTAGGATGTCTACGGAGATTCTCAGTCCTTCCAGGTCACAGTTGTCCCAAAAATGCTTTTTTATTTGTGTCAAGAGGAAACGGGACTTTCTGTTTTTTCTTTGAAGACATTTCACTTCTCATCCAAGAAGCTTCTTTCCCTCTGACTGGATGTGTGATGAACCCGGGGCGTGACACAAAAATAACAACAACGCAAAAAATAGGAGAAGGTCCCTTTAATGCCTCCAACTCAGCCCCGATGTCCAATTATCCTCAGGAGGATATCAAAACTCTTAAAAAAAAAAACAGTCTATGGAGGGAGGGAGCAAATGCAGCCAGCACCCAAAGTAAAGTTAATTAGAAATAAAAAAAAAACAACATAAACCACAGTGAAGGAATTAATACGGCAGGCCAGGATGATTAATTGCAGACTTCTACCAGATAACACAGCAAAGACAGAAGGAAGCCAAAACACAGATAAGCTCCTTTGCTTCCAGCAACTTTGCCATGGGCAGTTTGTCCTTTTAAACAGTCCTCCCAGATGCAGCCCATGAAGGGGATCAGGGCCCCTTCCTCCCCCGTAGACCACGCCACTCATGTTTCTCCCTTCTCCGCTCCTCCCTGCGTGCCCTAGGATGAAGAGGGGGTGGGCCTGGGTCTTCCTCTGAATGCCCATCTGGCCTGTGCCCTTCCCCAGTCTCCTCCACAACCACCGGAGCCACACTCCCACTCCCTGTCAGCTGTTCCATCTCTCCCTCGGAGTCAGACTCCAACTGGGGCAGGATAGAATAGTGGGGAAGGGAAGGATTTATATTCCTAGCAGACAGCTGGTCATCTGCATCCTTTTTAAAGAGCCGTTGAGGCCATTTGGACGTTTAGCTGTGTTTTCAGATAAATGGGTCCCTCCACACCCATTTGCACCACTCAGGTGGCCCTGAGAACATAGATAAACCTCCAAGTGGCCTCAACGGCCCTCTCAAAGGACCCAAACGCCCAGCGGTCTGCAAGGAGTACCAATCCTTCCGTTCCTCACCATCCAGTCAGAGCAGAAGAAGCTTTTTGGACGAGAAGCGAAATGTCTTCAAAGGAAAACAAAAAACAAAAAACAGAAAGTCCAGTCCTTTGGGATATTTTACGATCTGTTTTCCCCAAGTCAAGCACGGAACAGGATCCAGGCTAGACACTCGGTGTGGTCAAACCTGGGGACTAAAAATGTCGTTTTTGGGGCTGACCCCTTATAGATAATCCTCCCCTCCCCCAAAGCTACCCCTCCTTCCCAGAGTCGATACCTTGATGGCTCCGAGGCAGAACCCGTAGAGGAGGCCAGCCACGAGGATGCTGCGGAGCAGGGCAAACAAGGCGGTGAGGGGGCTGGTAGCAGCTGGATGTGGAAAAGGAAAAACAGGAGCAGTGAATAGCAAGTTTCTGCTTGACTTTTGGCTGATCTCAGAGGCTGAGCGAGCCGGGCGCGGATAGGTCACCACCAAGAGACTTCAAGGTGGGAGGCTCGACTGGGAAGTTGAAGAAACTTCCTGGAACAAAGCTAACAAATAAAACGCTAGCAGAGAAAACTGCAGAGGGGAAGGTGTCACTTTTGAATGGACGCTAAATGAATGTAAGCTGAGGACTATGACACCTTGGAAGCATCTCTTATTAATAAGGAGCAAAACCCCACTGATGATGTTCCCTAGTTGGGTCACGAAACGTCTTCAAGAAAACAACCAAGCTCAGAGAGCACCAAGGACCACACCGTCCTCCTTCTCCTTCCTCTCCATCTCCTCCTCCTCTTCCTCCTCAAATCCTCCTCCCTTCTAGCACTGATATTGTTATATAGTTGGCTCATGAAAATGTCTGCAATAAAACCATCAGGCTCAAAAAGCACCAAGAAATTCAGTCCTCCATCTCCATCTCCTCCACTTTCTTCATCTCCTCTTCCTCCTCCTCAAATCCCACTCTCCTCTAACACTGATGTTGTTACATAGTTGGCTCATGAAACGTCTGCAAGAGAACAGCCAAGCTCAGAGATCACCAAGCAGCCCCCAGTTCAAGCCTGAGGCACAAATATTCGCCCCTATTATTACAGTCGTCAAATTCCAAACGTGTTTCCTCACCCGCTTCCAAAATATCCCGACTCCCCCAAACCCTTCTCCTCCTCACCTGTCCCACCAAAGATGTTCATCTCGACTTGTTCCAGAAGGTACATGAAGCAAGTGTTGACTTGCGGGAGGAGCCCAAAGAGGAAGATGGCGGGGAAGCAAAGAGTGAACACTGGAGGGGAAAAAAGAGAAAAAGAAAACAACGGAAAACCAAGAGGAAAAAAAAAAATTAGGCCAAGGGAGACATCATGTCCGCGTACCACCTCGAGAGCATACTGAAAAGCAGAGACAAATCACCCTGCCAACAACAGCATGTAGAATCACGGCTGTGGTTTTCCCAGTTGCAATAAATGTGTCAGCTCTGGAAGCCATATTGACACGAGACCCTTCCACACTCCACCTTCCTGAGCCTGGGAAAATGGGAGGGGGGAATTTCTTGGAGTGTATGTGGTTAGGCATAATAGCATTCTTTTTCTAATTCAAGGTCATGTTATTTCTGCACCTGGGTGAGGGGATGTCTGAAGTTGGGACGGATGGTGACTGGGGCATCTGATGCGATGATGGGTGCAGGGGGTGGATTTGTAATATTTTTACTTATTGCAAGGAACACTTCAGCTTCAACCGTAACAACACAAGAGCACACAATAGATACAAACTCAAGGTTAACCGCACCAAACTTGATGGCAGGAAATACGACTTCAGCAACGGAGTGGTCAATGTCTGGAATACTCTACCTGACTCTGTGGTTTCTTCCCCAAACCCCAAAAACTTTAACCCTAGACTGTCTACTATTGACCTCACCCCTTTCCTAAGAGGGTCTGTAAGGGGCGGGCATAAGCGGGCATAAGCGCACCAATAGTGCCTACCGTCCCTGTCCTATTGTTTCTTTTTATTTTTCCTCCTGCATCCATTTCATGTATTCACAACTATGTTTATACTTATACCCGTTATCTTATAATTGCTTGACAAAATAAAATAAATAAAAATAAATAAATAAAAACTTTCAGATTCGGGATTCCCCAGATGTGCCAGTTTACTATCCAATTAAAACAGAACTTTTGAAAAGAGGTCTGCCTTGCGGTGATTGGCTGGAGTGGAGGTTTTCTGGAACGCTGACAATATGGCTGGGAAAGTTGGACCATAAGGAAGGCTGAGCGCTAAAGAACGGAGGCCTTCGAACTCTGGGGCTGGAGGAGACTCCTGCGAGTCCCTTGGACTGCAAGGCCATCCAACCGGTCAGTCCTAGAGGAGATCAGCCCTGACTGCTCTTGAGAAGGCCGGATCCTGGAGAGGAAACTCAAAGACTTTGGCCACCTCATGAGAAGGAAGGACTCGCTGGAGAAGAGCCGAATGCTGGGAACGATGGAGGGCAAAAGAAGAAGAAAGGGATGACAGAGAAGGAGGGGGCTGGATGGAGTCACGGAAGCAGTCGGCGTGAGCAGAGGACAGGAAGGCCTGGAGGAACGTTGTCCATGGGGCCGCGATGGGTCGGACACGACTTCGCGACTAACGACACCACGAGTTGCTCCCAACCCCGCAATCGGTCACCTACCGATGGCCACGTCCCGGGTGCAGTAGAAGAAGTCGGTGGAGAAGAGGGTGACATCGTAGAGGGCGATGGGAGGGAAGGGCCCAATCCGGGCACACAGGTCCAGCAGCCAAATCAAGAGGCAAGCCACGCAGAAGTAAACCGGCCGGCTGTAGGCAATGATCCAGTTGTGTCCCTGCCAGGAGAAATGAAGCTTGAAAAAGCTTTGGGAAGGTGGCAAGAGATTTATGGCACTCAGGGCCTGGCCCAGAAAGAACTGGGTCACCAGCTGCCCATCCAAGAATTTGTTTTAGGTCAGGGTTTCTCAGCCTCAGGAACTTTTAAGATGGGTGGGCTTCGATTCCCAGAATCCCCCAGCTAGCATGGTTTAAGAGATGTGGGACTTCAACTCCCAGAATTCCCCAGCCAACACTCTTAAAGATGAGTGGATTTCAATTCCCAGAATTCCCCAGTCAGCATGCTTTAATAGATGGGGGTCAACTCCCAGATTTACCCAGCTACCATGGATGAGGAGATGTGGACTTCAACTCCCAGAATTCCCTAGCCAGCATCCTTAAAGATGGGTGAGCTTCGGTTCCCAGAATTCCCCAGACAGAATGCTTTAAAACAGGGGTCCCCAACCACCGGGCCG